TAAATACATGCCGTCATTCGCGCGAAAGGCCTGAGGCGTGTGCAGGTAGTAGCCGATCGTTCGTTTGAATTGCAATATTCAATAAAGATTTCGATTTGGTATAATTAACATCCGAAAAACTAGTTTTCCAACAATTTTTCCGCAATTCACGTGGCGCGTGTGCTCGAAGTAAACAGAAAAAAAATTCCTGAAATCTCATTCGTTAGAGGTCATTTCTGTTGCAAATAAATCATACCTTTTTATCATTGTTCATCATGGAAATTTCGCGTTATTGTTATTATTATTATCTCGTAATTATCTTTAAATTGGTACACTCTTAAAAAATAATAATTAATTCTGGCGAATTAATGTTACGGGATATTTATACAAAAGTCTTAAATTCCATTGTGAGTACAAATTTAAAACAAATTCCTTAAAGTTTTTTTAGATTTGTTTTAAGCGCAGAATATTTTTTAAGTATTACGTGCATCATCACATTTGATATGTGCATTCTATTAAACAATTATATTATTCTTTTTTTAATTCAATTCTAACTTATTTTAATTAAAACTCAAGTAATTCGACGAAATTATTTTCGTTATTTCAGTTAAGCAACCGTCCCCCTATTCAGAATAACAACTGCGAGAGAATTCTCTGCTGGCGTATCGAGGATTATTATTGTCTGAGTTTCCTATCCATATTATCTGCTTTCGACACCAGCCTCAGGGCTGATCCTGTCGTGAGCGAAGACTCGCGCAACACGTAGCGTAATCGGCAAGAGCGTAAACGGAACGCTGACTTTAATGAAGTACGTCGGCGAGACGGCTGATTTAACTACTGGATCGCTATTCATCCCGGCCAGACCTAAGCAGCTAGAGTTTCTTTGCTTACGCTGTTCGAATTCGCACAATAACGTTTTCCCCATATACCTCATATTACCGCAAATACACGATGAATAACATCGCGCAATGTTCTCAATATAATCTCGCTGCAGCTACGAATTAATAATAATCTTATTACAACGATGTGTTTAATAAACGTAAATAGACGGCCGGAAATTCGTCGGCCGCGTGACGTGTCGTTATAATCTCCAAGTTTTCGAAAGACAAGCTCGCGCGAGAGGAATACTCTCCTCTCTCTCTCTCTCTCTCTCGCTCTCTCACGCGGCGGGTCTATAGAGAAGTTATATATTTTACGGCGGGATGAAATCGCGTTGACGTCTGAGACCCGGCTGCGACAAACCGCAAGGACGGATTTCGGATTCCGGCGAATCCACCGAACGAGAACTAACATTGGCTTTCCCTCGAAGGCATCGTCTCCGCGGATTTTATGGAAATATTTTCTCCTCCTTCTCGGGGATTTTCTTTTTAACGCGCGTTCCGTCTCTCTTTCTCTCCCCTCCCCCCTCTCGCTCTCCCTCCTTCTTCCCCTTCTCTCCTAGCCGCCCGCGCTCTCCTAGATCTCTCCCCCTTTAATCGCATTACCGTACGTAGATATATATATTTCCATTCGTCGAACTGTTCGACGTCGATTGAGGCGGCTCTTTTACCATCTTCGTGGCGTTTCATCTTCCGCTTGCTTACCTTCGCCGTTGCCTCGCCTGTTACTGGTAATTGGAAGTTTGTATCATTAAATGAGCGTGAAGGCAATTTCGCGGCAAATCTCCGTTATAATCGAATCGTTTGCGCATTAATTGTACATTTTATCTCATTTTAACGCAAACCAAAATAAATGCCGTTGTTTTGTAAGATCGGATAATGTTAGTGAAAAACAATATCGCTGACTGATCTTTTAGATTGATATTCTAATTGTCTCATTAGTGGCTCATATCTTCGATCGTTAAATTTTTTAACCGAGTTTTAAGAAGAAATCGCCCCGAATTACATTACTTATGTGCTATTACAAAGAGCGCGCAAATATTATGAAATTAGTGTAGAAACTTTCGGGCGAGTGGTTCACCCTCCCCTTCTCGTAAATCGAGTATTATTGTTTGTTCCTTCGGTACCCCCGAAAGTCTTCCCAGCGTTCGGCGCAAACGCAAAAGGAGACGCGTAAAAGCCCATCGGCACAGAATGGCACGAAGTTACAGCGCATTAGTTTGTTTAAGAGACAGAGACGCGGAGGGAGGGAGGGAGGGAGGGCGCAGCCGCCCGGCAGACGTTACTGGCCGTTTGAGGAACGACTTTCGGAATCGACTTTCCTGCCGGAGCGAAGAGAAGTTTGGCAATTTCCTTGGGCTAATCTGCTGGTCGGTCAGCATTGAGATGCTGCGGGGGTTACTATCGCAGGGAGACCGGACGGAGGGAGGGGAGAACGAGAGAGGCGTAGCGGCACGGCCGGGGTTGATCCATCGACCACGAACGCCGGGCGGTCCCATGAATTATACAAGCGACTCTCTATCGCTCTCTCATCTGGCGTCTCTTTCTCAGAGATATCCCCCGTGGTGCCGACGAGAACCGAGCAAGTGGGAGCTGAAACTCTTCTCTCTTCGGTGAAGAAAAGAGAACGGGGGAAGGAAGAAAGGAAGGAGGGTGGGGGGGAAGGGGCAGAAGAGACGCGTGCCAGAGTGATCTGCCGTGAGCTTATACGTCGCCGCGACTGTCTTGACGTGACAACGAGTGACCGTCCAATAAAGGATGACAATTAAAGCTCGACACGGGCGGCGACACTTTTTCTTTCATTACCCCATCGCCCGACGCGCGTTCGCTGGCGACGCGGCGACGGCGCGCACGACTGATAGTAGTCGCAGACAGGATCCCTAGATTGATGAGTTTTGGCTATTTGGAACGGCTTTTATAGGTATTAGCTTTGCGTGGAACCTCGCCGCAATAAATAACGATGTAAACTTTTGATAATCTTACAGGGACATATCACAATTTATCCGTGACTATTGAATCTATATATTATTAATATATTAATTGTGATACTGTAAATTTTTTTGTTATGAAGCTACGTACAAAAGAGACTATATAGAGAAAATCATAATTATACACTATACATATTTTTTATTCTTTACTATCTTTAATGAAAAATACGCAAGATACGAAAGAATATTTCAGACAAAAAGTTGTAGGATAAAGGGGGACAAATAATGATAAAATCAGTTTCACAAAAAATCAATTTTTCAAGGTCTAATGTCTATTTCGATTAATCGTGATATGTTTTAACGTTTTTATTTTGATATATTCTGTTTGAGTCAATAAATTAATTGATTGCAGTTAGCTATATATGATAACCTTTTCTATAAAAATAAAAAATTCGTTTTCGAAAAGTTATCATGTAGGTGAGTTAAAATAAATCGCGGTTAATCGAAATGTGACTTTTAATAATCATTTTGGACAAATATATTATTAGGACTTTTTGTTCTATTTGGAGATATATAAAATATATACATTATTTAATATGTATGTTTGCTATTCTTATTTTAAAAGCCATCTTCGTTTCTGCATTTCATACATCACTTAATATATTGTATGTGTAATGCTTCCTGTGGAAAATGTTCATACAACAGTTATTCAAGCATTTATAATGCTTGCTGAATTTCCCTTGTTAGCTAATAAAGATTTCTCAAACTGTCTGTAGAAATTTTTTTAAATTATAAGAACCAATTTTCAAATTTTTGTTTGTCTTTTATAAGCAAGAAAACCTCATTTATAGTCTTAATTAATCAATATTATCGATTGTTTGCGATCATCATTATACTGATGCGAATAAGACATAGCTAGAAAAATCCTTTATATTTCTTTTATATTTATCTTAGTGTTAATTTTAGGCTATTAAAGCGTTATATGCATCGATACACGCGAATATATAAAAATCACTTGGCATATTTATATGTATTTTATATGTATTTATGAAGAGGCCAAATGTCACGAATATATATATTATTTATTACAGTAATAATATAAATTAAAAATTTTTCAACTATTTGTTTTTTAATATATAGCTTTATATTAAATTTGGTGTATGTACATTATTTATAATAAAGTAAAGAAGAGTGGCACTTTAGTGCCAAAATTCGTCCATGAGGAAAACGTTTAAAATCGGTTCATTTTTATATTATTGGATCTACTGAACTCGAAAATGAAGCTTAAAATTGTCCACAATGCGGGGAATTTTGTGAAAATGCAGTTTTTCTACACGAAATCCTTGTTTTGCAGCCACTATTTTTTAATGAATAAATAACTGTGAACAAAATGAAATTTTTTTAATTAATATTTTTGCATGACGCATAATAATATGAACAAGTGCATGTGTGCATGAGTGCGTATGTGCATGATACATTTATGTACATACATTTATGTACATACATTTCTGTTATCACTATCAGTATTAGATTTACCCAAGATACACCGCGTGAAGATTGCTGAAGTTTTATCTCTTCTGTTTTGTAGCGTCTAATCCGTTTCGTTAGGCTGCAGTATGTCGGTCACGATAAACGCTATGTATACTGCACATTTGTGTATACATACGTGAATATATATACATTTGGATCTATTTCTTCCCATTTATTCATGGGAAATCAGTCATATGTATTATCTGAATATAATTAGTCCTCTGTTTTTATTCTATAGTATTCTTTTTTACAGGGTATATACAATAAAAAGTGCTTAGATAGCAAAATATTTCGAAAACTAAGCATTATAGGAAAAAGTGTTTCAGATAAAAGTTGTAAAGTTTCAAGCCATCTATTTACTGGCGCTATTAGTTCGACCTTGAGTGGCGTCGCCAAAGGATAAGGTTACCTTACATTTTTTAAATAGGACTTCCTACATTTTATTGCATATTCTTATAGCCCTTTTTCAGATCTTTTCAAAGCATTATACTTTAAGCAAGCCGATGATATCGAGCTTTTTATAAAGATGTCTAGTTCACGAAGCATGCGGCCCTCTTCTCTTACTTTCTCTTCCTTCCCCCCCCTCTCTCTCTCTCTCTCTCTCTCTCTCTCTCTCTCTCTCTCTCAAACATTAATAAAAGAACGCTTCTTTTGTTCACATTTACCATTTGTTCATTAAAAAATATTGGCTACAAAATGAGACTTTCGTTTAGAAAAATTGCATTTTCACAAAGTTCCGCGCATTGTGGAAAATTTTAAGCTTCATATTCTAGTTCAGCAAATCCAATAATATAAAAATAAACCGATTTTAAACGTTTTTCTCATGGGCAAATTTTGGCACTAAAGTGCCACTCTTCTTTATTACTATTATTATTTATTATAAAGAAATTTTCTACCATATAGTAATTTGTCTACTAATTTGTCTATTAATTACTAAACCAGCTAATAACGTTTATTATTCACTATTAAAACACTACCATCAGCTGCTATATTTTGACTTATTCTATTTGCCAGACGCTAATTTTCTCAACACTTCATTAGCAAAGCAATAATGATGCCACTGTTCTCCAATCGTCACATCACTAGCCCCTAGTTTTTTGTAAAATTGTTGTGCTGGGTTCGAATTGAGAACTAGGAAATCCAATTGATGACAATTATTCTCTAATGCGTCCTATAAAAATTTTGTAATTTTTTTCAAACACATATAAAATACTACGTATAAAATTCTAATTAAATAAATGGAACGTATTATACTTTCGCGACTGCTTGTAAAATTTGACTGCCAACGTGTTTCTGTCGAAAATCCGATGTCACGTAAAGATCTGTCATGTATATAGATCTTCCGACCCGTGGAGAATAAATGTACGAACAAAAAGCGTAACCAATGAGATTTTTATCATATATTGCCACGTAACAGAAGAATAAGGGTTTCTCGCCAAAGCCATCTTTTTCTAATGCTAAAGAATTATTTCAAACAATTATTTTGGCACTACTTTTAAAAAGTTATTTAAATGATATAGAAATAATAATGTAAAAAAGTTACTTTTGTAATCAATTTTTATTGCGTTGTTGGGTCGTCTGTGATAGTTCGCCAATTCCTATAAAATATATTTAATATTTTTATACTATTTAAGATTCATTATTAACAAAATTTATAAATACCTGTACAAGTGCCATGAGAGCTTTGCAATCTTCACGTATAGCTTTCCGTACAATTATGTCAGCCATTACAACAAACGTTAATTTCAGCTGCAAATATTTGTAGTATTTAATTTGTAGTTCAACATTTCAAAAATATTAAAAGTAACTAATTTATATAAAATATAGGTACACAAAACAAACTTGATAATGTGTAGATATTCTTTGAAATTGGAGGTGTCTTGAACTAAACTCGTGTATATGTTCTCACTACTGAATTTAGTGACATACTAAGACCAAGAAAATGCAGATTCTAATATACTAGCATTACAGACGCGCGCTCTCGCCGCATTGGAACGTAAGGCCCTATCTGACTTATCCAACGATAATATATCGCATCGCGTCGAAAATATGTACTTAATGATATCAATTATTTGTGTTCTGATTACGTCGAATTATCACGTAAACTTAACGATTAAAGCAGCAAAATTTGAGTACGCAAATTATTTAAATTATAAGATTTCAGAATTTTTATTTTTACCGTTATCGAAAGCAAAATCTTCAGTAATTAAAAATTACTAAAATAATAAAATTAAGGTATCGTACAGAATACTACATACAGATAACAGATTAATATCTATTTATGTATCACATTAAAGCAATTTTATTATATTCTTAATTCTATTAATAAATTCTATTAAATTCTATTATATTTAACAAAGTATGAAATATACGCATCAAATTTTTACGCATTAAATTGCAATACAAGTATCAGGTTTTAGCATTCCAAAGTCATATAGAAGTTAATCGCCAAATTTCGCAATTTTGTATTTGCAAAATTGTAGCAAATTAGCCTTAGCAATATTTTGATCAGCAATATTGGTACGTATATCAATATTTCTCCTTTAAAAAATTTTAATAAAACATATTATATATGTGTATGCATTGAGTTTTTTATATTGTAAAGAATAATAAACGCACAAACAATATGCAGTCTAGATATCAGAAACAATGCTTAACAAAAAGAAAACACGCAAACCAACTAAAATGTATATTGATACGTTCAAGGCAATTGTTATTTTCCCGAAGATATTCCCCGCCGATTTTTCCGTTGACCTATTTTAACGTCGGTTTTGCATGACGGTAAATCCGGAGCGGTCTCTCTCATAAAAAGTACTTGTCGCCCGCTCTCCCACGCTTATACATACGCAAATATGTGTGCACGCATATTGTCCGGCGTGTACGGCGAGAGAACGAGACATTTAACGAATTTACCTTTCAGGAAGTAACGAAGCAGTGTCCGCTACTCCGCAATTAATTCAACCGTGCGGCCATTAAAAATACGCCACGCGAAATTTGCACAGTAAAGAGACAAAAATGTGTCGGGGGGGGAAATGGGCGACTCTTTCCGTCGCGCGCGGCGGCATCGAGGCGTGAAGTTAATTATCCCTTCTTCGCCGCGGCGCGCTCTAAGATTTTCTCACTTTCGGAAACACGTCACAAAGTTGCTATGAATATTCATGATCGCACCGAGAATGTGGAAAATCGTTCGAGACGCACTAACAGATTTTGCGATTTAGTTTTTACGCGGCGCGCGCTCGACCGCCCGCGGAAGCGCGCTTGTCCCCGCTATTGTGAGCGGCGCAATCTGGTATCTATAGAGCTCGAAAGCCGAGTGAGCGCGCGATTTTCTTTCTCTCTCTTTTTTTTTATTCCGCAATCAGAGTGAAGCACATGTAACGAATTTGGGTAACAAGGTCGCCGTTCATAATTATTTCGCACAAATATATATGGAGAAATGCGCCCATTAAAAATAGACCTTCAATTTCCAGAGCGCGGAGCGACGAGAGTGCGCCGTACCCGCAACAACGGGCGTGCATTACTCCCGATTATGCAACATTAGTGCGTTATGATAACGTAAAATTATTTTTCTGTCGTAATCTCTGCGTAGATGAAGTCATTTAGGTTACATAATGTATAACCACCCCGTAATACACGCGCGAAACATTCCTTTCGCAGTCATTATATCTCCGCATTCCGGAATACAGATTATTTTTAATGTGTATCTCGTTATCGCACGTTTTGAAGCGCGATTTATAGATCTCGCAAAATTTTAATTCTACGAAAAGTGCGAAATAACGGATTATATTATATTCAATTATATTTGAAACCGTGTTCTTTTTATATTTGTTAAACGTTCTTCTGTTAGGGTTCGATGAAAAAAAAAACGCACGCACGTATCAGTGTTGTGACGGAAAGAATATCGGCGAAGTTCTAGAGTACTGCCGAGCGGCGACGCAGTTCCGTACCTCAGGTATAGTAAACGGGGGTGTAAGATTGCTCGTCCATTGCATCATAAATAATTTATTGAATCGGGGGTTACTAAGAATCGCGACTCAACGAGAAGGACAAAAGTTTCGAAGCGACCCCGAGGCTTTCCACGTTAAAGTTTCGGCCGTGCGGTACGAACTCATGCCCCGAAGGTAGACAGCGGGTCCCGCCATACAACCCGGTACAAAATTTTTACGCCTCCGCGCGCTGACGAAGTTATAGAAAGGTGTGCCATCGGTGGGACGTCCCGTTTTGTGTCTGCCGAGTTTGCGGAAGTCTGATCAATTCATAATTAAAGGGGCCGAGGTAATAGAGAACTTCGCGATATCGCGCCGTCCAAAAGTGCCCACGGAGCAAACAGTTATGTTCGCCCGCTCCTCGAAATGAAGAATTCAACGAGGATTCAGCGAGTTTTTCGACGTTGAAATCTCACGCGATTTCTATTGTAAATTATTATACCGCGAGACCCACTCCGCAGAGAGGAAAATTGCAGTTTGAAATCTATGAATTTATACTTCACGACGTATACATCGCTTTTTAACGATTCGTCATTTATAATGACGGACTATCATCCGTCATTATAAATGACGAATCGTTAAAAAGAAGCTAAGAGGCATGTTATTCAAAGTAGATCTCAATGTAGCTGTAAAGTTATAAATAAAGTGCTACATATATGCAACACTATAATTTCTTCACTTCATATAATATATGCAGCACTATATTTGAAAAGGATAAATTTCTCTTGCTTCATATTTTTTCTTGTTACTTACTAAAAGAAATTTATAAGTGAGTAACAACATTAGCTCGAATACGTGTACTCGCTAAAAGTATCCGAAAGCGTTTAATCGTAATAATATCGTAACAATGGAATAATTGATACAATTATAGAACTATTGCGTTCCAATTCACGATATTCCAAAATTATTCAAATAGGGATATCAATATGGCTGAAAATCTGAAAATGAATATTTCTTCGGAGCACACCCCTTGAGATAAGTTAAGAATATAACTTCGTGGAGATACTATCTGCGTGAATATCAGCGAGAAAATGCTCGCCGGCAACGTTTCAAAATCTAAACGAGATTTTCGGTGAAATTCGTTCCTCCGTGCAACTCCAACGGCAAAATTGCTAAGTGCCGCTGCGTTAGCAGCGTCCGGAATGCATGTGCAGAAAGAGTTTCACAACAAATTTATCAAAGTCACGCTGGGCCACGACTTCGTTTGCATCTTACGCTGAAGAATTCGTTAGTGAAATTCTCAAATCCAAATGAAAAGCTCGTAGAACTTTACGAGCCACGATACCACGCGACCGCGAAAGTTTTCAAAGTCCGACAACTCAGTATGGATTTGCAGAAGGAATTTGAGTACAACGGAGAAGTTTTCCGTTTGCAAGAATTTCATCAAGAGCTTGTTAAGCATTAAGGGATTTTTACCGTCGCGAGTCGCATTGTAATTGTCTTTCGAGAATGTTTTATGGTATTAAGATTTGTGAGATGTAAAAATGTAGTTTTGAAAATGAATACATCAATTGGTAAAGCGATGTATTCTGGTCAAAAAGTGTAATGATAAAATCGATTTACATATATAAATCAGTTTAATTGGCCTTCGATAAGAACAATCAAATAAAATTAATTATTATCGACTGTCTCAAAAAATATCGCCCGCGTTATCTATTTAAGTGTTACATTATTTACACTAATTTAGTGTTACACATCTTTCCCAACAGATCCCATGTAAAAGGATAATGTCCCATGCATAAGCAAGCATGTCCGAATTAAGGGGAGTGAAAAATGACATTATGGACGCCGACAAAGCAGCCGCGTAACGGCCGTTTATTAAATCCGCGTCTTAGCAGCGACACAAGCGGTTGAACCGGCGCTCGGCGGATGCGGCAGGGGTGGACGTTGCATTATGTATACGAGCTCGAGCTGAGGAAATCACAAGGGGATGGGAGGAGAGGGAGGAAGAGAGGGAGGGAGGGAGGGAAGGAGGGAGGGAGGGAGAGAGAGAGAGAGAGAGAGAGAGAAACGAAGGAGGAGACGAGGAGCCGAATGAATACGATATTGTTACTATCCGAGCGAGCGAGCGCCGTAAGTTTTGCCCCGTTCCTGCACCCGTCACTCTTCGCGCGCTAAGCCCGCGCTTCAACGCCGCTACAAATAGCTGTTTGACTCGACCGCGGAATAAATTAGCCAGGAAATTCGAGCTTTTTCGAGCGGGGCGAGAGGGGGGAGGGAGGGGAGGAGGACGGGTCTCCGTCGCGAGGAAAAAAAAAGAGGCCTCAAGAGGGATAGGGAGACGAGGTAAGACACGGGCACGAAATGCGCTCGGATATCAAGAAACAGGGGTACTTTGCCCCTTAGGCGGTCCTTAATAATAAATTCATATCTCGGTCCCTCGTCCGTCTCCCCTATTCTTTACTGCCGCTGTAGACGAGTTTCGCAACCGAGGAATCGTCTTCGCTTCGCGGGACGACTTACCCCGCAGAGTAAGGTATCCTTCCCTCCCCCTTCCGCCCCTACCCCGCCATCCCTTCTGCCACCGCTCCGTTTCCTTCAGTCAGTCTACAAATCTCTTTTTTTATGCCGCTTAATAAAACTCGTCTGACATATCTCTAACTGCCGCCACTTAATTTCGAGCCGGCCCGGCCTCCCTCAAGAAACGCGAAACGGGCTCCGTTACTTTTGCCGGTTGTTACAGACTGTACCGAAGTAGGTTTGTTTGCTTCTCTCCCCTGGACCGTCGTGCACGCCTTCGCCAAGCCTTCGCGGGACCTTTTCGAAGTTATTTCTCCGCTTCCTCTTTGGAGAGAAGCTCCGAGAAATTCGAATTCCTTTCTGGTCTGACTTTCTCCTCCTTCGTACTTTCATCCCTCCCGCTTGAGAACAATGGGATGGTCACAGTCGATTCCAAATCGACGATTTTTAAATGGACGGAGAAAGGGCGTACACCTCTTCTTATTTGTACATTTCTCTGTACACGACGAGAATGTTAATCTTCGTTAAAAGAGTTTAATTTGTAAAATTTCAATATATACAGGTATATGTCTATTTATTAGACACTTTAAGATTTTATTTTATCGAGGATAGTTTATTATATTTTTTTTCGTTTCAGTTCCATCACGTTGCGATATAAAAGCCAAAAAAACACCGTTATAAGAATCGCTTTTGTGCGCATCGTACAAGCAATCCTGGGTGTTAGTTAATATTCGTGGCCTTAAACGTTTGCAATAATCAACAATTACGCATCTTAAAGCGGAATATATAACGATGCTCATATACAACCCCGCAACGCATTTGATTGCGAGGCATGACTCTTAGCGCGCGCGGTTAATCCCGCATCCCTTTCGGGGATACCAATAATTCAGCATTAGCGCCACGCCAATAGTCCAACGAGTCATCCAGTCGGAATATAGGATTCCGTCGTGAAAATGCTTTCCTCAATAATTTACTAATCGTGATATATCGCAGTTAATTTTGTTGCGACGAAAGAAAAAAAGGGAATGAATTCGTTTATTTCTTTTTCTTGTAAAAAAAAAAAAGAAAAGTTTATCGGCGAAGCTAAAAAGAGGTGCTTTCGAAAAATTTTAATTTCGCTTGCGCCACAACGGGGATATAGTATGCACGGCACGCGCGAATTTTGCAACTAGCAAGTTTCGCACAGCTACGCTTAAAAGTAATATCAATAACGATCTTAATGCAAAGAGACCGTTTTAGTTGAAAAAGAGAGGAATATTTTTAGGTGTGTAATTAATCGAGTGAAATATCTATAAAGCGTGCGATGCAAATTTTGCTTCTGAGAATATTAATTTCTCGCATAACGCTGTTCTTACGTATGTAAATAATCTAGATATTCAAAAGAAATTTCTAGTTTGTTAAATATTTATGCGCGGATATACGCGCGCGGTCCGTAGCAAGAGATTGACGGCAAGTACGAAAAATCGGCCACATATATCGGACAATCATTTTCGTCCTTTGTTTTTTATCGAACTCAGGGAAGGTTTACATTTCACCACCTTCTCCTCTTATCGGTAGTCTTTTATGCTAAATGTTCGCTTCATTTGAATATTGCTAATGCGAAAAACCGATCCATACTAATGGAGTGATCTCCCTCGCATTCGTTTTCGTAAGCGACGTCGATTCTATTTGCTCTCTACATGTCCCGATTCATACTCTTTTTCATGAGGTACGTACGCGCGTACGTACTTCGTGTCCCCATATTTCATCCATATCTCCGGTTTTTATCATAGCCGTAAGCCGCAGATGAAATTCACGATTGTATGCATTTTACTCCCTCACCTCGTGCACGGCGAAGGTATAACGTGTAACGCACGCGAGGACTAACGAATCGAAAAGGAGAAAAAAAAAGAAAGAAAGGGAGAAAAAGGAATGCCCGTGACGTTAGAAATGTGAGAATATTGAGATCCGCAGTTGAGAGTACCTAAAGCCCCGAAACGGCAGTATATATACGCGTATACAGAGCTGCTTTTTGTATTTACACAGCCGCGTTAAACTGTAGCCAACTAATGTTGCGATTTAATTCGAGGAAAGTGCCACTGCGAATCACGATCTGTTGGCAAATATTAGGCAGAGGTAATTAATGTGGGTATATTTGTCTAGGTGGAAGATCGCATGACGCGCGCGCGGAGTTTAACCGTGTCAAACCGTGCGCTGAGCGCGCCGCGTTGCCCGAAGAAACCACGGTATCCGTCAACGGGTGTGCCGTAGAAATTACGTAGTTCGTTGAGAACCGACCGTCTTCGTCGACTTCGTAAACAACCGGGGAATGACAGCACGACATAAACGCGCCAAACAGCTCGCGACGAACCGTCATTACCTTAGTAAACGGTACTGCGGGGGAGATGGCTCGGGGCGCATGCAGGCAAAACGAGACACTTACTGTACAGACGGATCGTCCCGTCGGTTTCTCCACGTGGGTTCTTGGCGATGCACTTGTAGCTACCGTAGTCTTCCCTCTGAAAGTAAACCGGCGCAAGCACATTACTCTCTAAAATGCATGGAAATTTTAATGGGGTAATCATAATAAAATATTCCTTATTAATTACCAAGCTTGAATCTAAAAATCAAAAATTCTTCAATTCTCCGTTGCATTTTCACTTTGTTAATAAGGAAATTTATTTTTTATAATTACAAAAATATTCTTATATGCATTACGCTATTAAACCTATAGTGTCAAATTTAACTCTATTTAAATCGCCACTGCTTCTATTTAATATATAATTATTTTTAAATAAAATGGAATTTAACTCAAATTTGGGTCAAATTTGAACTGTTTTAAATTATTTAACTCCATTGTTTTAGTTAAAAATAACTATTTATTAAGTGGAAGCAGTGGCGACTTAAATAAGGTTAAATTTGACTATAGATTTAACTGTGTAAGATCCAACCTCTATCATACAAGGCGCTCTTAAATTTATTCGTGATATTCAACGCGGTCTAATTCAACTTACTATTGTTTATATAATTTTATAATTATTGGAAAAAAATAGAATTACGCAAAATATCTTTTTTTTTAAATGTTAATAAATGGCTATAAAAATTAGTCACGTCTTTTGAAATGTTAATATCGTTATTATTGAGTAAGTGATAAATTATTGTGATATCTACATAACCGTATATATATAACGCCGTATATTATGCATTTTTATTTTACACGGATACTCTAGACGAGTGCTTTATTACGCTCATCGTCTGTCGCGCTCATCGCCAGGGTGCAACGATCGTGATTTACGATATGGTGCTATTACCCAATCGTGAATTTTAACGCGGTGTACATGATTAAGCCACGCGCTTTTTTAACAGCAATTACGTTGCGTTTCGCTGCGATTATCGTGCAATTCTCATTCATTAAATATGCAATAAAATTTGCACCGCTCAATTTTCGTGCAATGTACTCTGAAACAGCTAAAGGTATTTTTACACAATTTGTATAATTGGTAATAAATTCTTATTCAATAAAGGAGAAATCTGTTTTTTTTCCTCTTTTCGTGAATCGTTTCGCATTGCAAATACGAGGAATTACTGGGGAATTCTTGAATGCCGCTGTATTCGAGAATTTAAACGAAATGGTTCGGCGAGATGCCTCTATCTTACCAGTATATCGTTTATCGTCAGCTTCATGTGCGTCTTGTAGGATGGCTTGTCGGGCACTGACACAGTCTTGTATTTACTGCTCTCGTGAATCATTAGGCCGTCCTCCCTCGCCCAGTAATTCAAAGAAGTCGGATGAGCCTCGGTATAGCATTCCAGAGTTACGGAGTAACCCAGGGGCGCGCCGACCAATTGGTGCGGTATCCAGAGCATAGGGGGGACTGCAACAGCAGAAGTGATTGATTGGCTCATAAATGTTCCAATTACTAACAATACACGATGGGCCTACGATCGATATCCCTTCCACGCGTCTATAAATCTCGCTCGCTCGGCTCGGTCGCGAACGCGCTGCGAGCCGAGTGCGAAGGGACGACTCGAGACGAATTTTTTGCGACAGCAGTTTGCGTCTGCAGTTTTTGGAGTGCAATTGAGTCGATTGCATTTCTCAGAATATATAGACCCCCAAGTCACACTCTGCTCTCTCGGATCGAAGTTAATTAGGAGCAAACGTCTCGTTGTCGGTATAAAAAGAACCCACCAATTACATCGAATTTTAACGGCGTTATTACTTAAATATTGATATTGGTGATTGTACGGTAGGAAGGGCCAATAAAGAAAACAAAACGTTGCGGCACGTGGCCTTAACTATCAGTTCGCTAACGATCTGTTCGATCATACGAGAAAAAGGCGCTAGAACGCAGATGCTGATAGGAAAATATTTGCGTTAAAATGTTTGAGCTTTTTTTGCGACCGTTATCTCTTCGATCAATATAAAAACGAAATGAATGGAGAATTATTACAGAGACAATTATATGTATGTATAATGTATATAGATGTATATCGATATACATATATATATATATATATATATATAGATATTTACGCACCAACATTATCTTTTAGTTCTTTTATTATCTTTTTTCTCCTATAAAAATTTTATATTAAAAAGTCTCCTTTCAATATATTCCCTATTATTGTATTAATAAATATAAAATAATTAGTGGAAAGAAATGAGATATTTTAAATGGAATATGATTTGATGGTACGTGCATATAAATAAAAAATTAAAATATGGACATTTTTTAAATAATTTAAGTTAAGTAAAAAAAGTCAAGAGATAATACGTTTTTCCAATATCTCACGAATATAATTAAGAAAATAAAAATTTTTTGCGTCTGTAAAAAAAAATAGGCGTGAAAACTATGCATGCATTTTTGTAGGTTGAGAGGCAGAGACGTTCTTTAAAGTTTTATATAAACATTACATGGAAAAGGCTGGGCTTAATTTTTGCTATATGCCGTGAATCCTAAATGCGTATCACGCGGCCCTTTAATAAAAAAGTAATCCCATTTCGATGAACAGCCCCGACCGTTGTTGTCGGCGCTGGTGATAACATTTCCTCGAGGTAAGAGCGCTTCAATTTAACTTAAACCTTCTAAGAATATACCTAACCCATCTTCTCTCGCAAAGTGTCGCAATGTTCGCGAGGAAAATATCACGCAAAACAAGCCGGATACAAATGGCTCGTGGTTGCACAAGCGATAAAAATATAAACAAGGGCAAACGACTACGTTTTCTCAAACGGTTTCCGTTCAAATGCGTTATTCCCGGCGAAGGGATCAATAAGTAGTAGAGATGTCGATTTGAAATCGTGCGTGAAAAATCTGAGCTGACGCATACGATGAAAAGACGATCAAAAATCGCGTAAATGATTTCAGCATTTAAATAAGATCGATTATTCGTTGAACGGAGAAGATAACTTCGCAGATTCCACAGAGAATTAAATGTTCTCTTCTCCCTATACTCGTGCCAAAAATAGTGAAAATTCTATTTTATAAAGTAAAAATAGATAAATTTTGCAACTGAGCTGTACTTGCGAAATTATATAGCTTAATTGTGAATCAGTTAAAATTTTAATTTATTTTTCTCTCTTTGTACACATCTATCTCTTGAGAAGATATTTCTTTTCGGTGATTTCTCGAACTTTTGGAAATAAAATCTATCTTGCGATCTTTTTCTTTGAATTGAGCAATTTTCTACAATTCGCTACACAATTGTTGCACAATCCACAAATCTTTCTGTAAATTAACAATTAATTTTAATTATTCAATAAAATCAAACCATTAAAAAACTGCTTGAGAAATGTATCTTACGGCGGAGAGAAAGTACCGTTTTTTTAAGAGAGTTTCCCTAGAAAAGGGAGAAAAACAGGGTTTGTCGGCTCCTGGATACCGGAACGATCGAGTTTGCTCTCGTTTCATCTGGGATCTCCTTTAAGCAAGAGCCTCGGTAAACGGCGACTCGATTAAATGCGATTGTCCTTCGAGTCCTCTAGAAAATGACCACACGAGAGTCCAACCAATCCGTTTTCCGGCGAGTGTTTTTCAACTCTTTCATTCAGCAACGACTCTCCCGAATTTTCGTCGCCTTGAACGTTTATTAATTTCGTATTTATAGAACATTACTCTATTTCGTCCTTTATTACACAAAACATTCTACAACTACTGATGAACTCAAAATACAAGTCTATTCAAATATATGATATAAGAATCTCGAATCATTTCGGATATTATTCGAAGCTAAACAATTTTTCGAAGTCTTGAAAATCTTGGAATATTTTGGAATGTGTCGAAAGTCTTGAAAAATCTTTTATTTAAAAAGATTTTTTTGTTCTTTTGCAGACTAGATGTTACTATACATGCTTCAATCCCTATCCACGATTGTATTTTGTAAAATATTAAAAATATATCCTTTTACGAAAAATTATTAACATCGAGTAAAATAATCGGGGAAAGATTCTATAATTTTTCACATTTCTTGTAATGCAGGAAACAAATTGCAAAAAAAGAAAACCTACTTTTATTTTGTCACTTTCCACACAAAAAGTTGGATTTGTTCATAAAACAATACGTAAAACATTAATTACGTAAAATTGAGAAATTTTCGAGAATTTTTGCGACTGTAATTTATATAAACGACGAAAGTAACGCGTACCTAAAATAAATATCATTAAATGTACCTAACATCGGACGCTTGTGCTAACACGCTCGCGCGCGCGAATTCTCCGTTCGTTCACTGTAAAGCGACCCCGCTGGCATCGGTCGTCTCTCGCCGGGGGCGGAGGGGGGAGGGGGTGTTCTTTTTGCCACGTAATACAGGACCGTGAATTACTACGGATTTCAAGGGAGGGATCGCTCTTGTGCCTCTCGTGTCTCCCTCTACCCTTTTTCCCTTCTTTCCCCCTACCCTCTACGCTCCGCGACGAGGCGACGGGGGAGGCCTGTCTTCGGATAACGCAAAGGATATCCGACACCTTCTTAAAATGCAAAACATTCCGTCTGAGGGTGAGAAGGGACGGGACCGACCTGGGTTGTCTGTAATGCTTCGGATCCTTATTGCGCAGACAAGCTCGGGCTTTGCTGATACGAAGGCCTCCGACCGGTCGTTGGACGTCCTACGTTCGCTTCTTTTTTTTCCCTCACTCAGATTGTCTTCCGCGCGCGGATGTCAAATTCGATCGATGGGAAGTTTCAGAGCGTAAGACACTTCTTCGTGTGCATCGACGAGCTTTACGTAATTAATTGCAACAGATATGTCATAAACTTTTTTGAATTGTTTTTGCACCTTCTTTTACGTTCGCGTTCTCTGATTTATTTAGAAGTACTTCTAAACCTTCTTCCTTGGTAAAAAAAAAAACGCAATACTTCTTCCTTAAAAATAGTTTCTTTTTCAGTAAGAATGCGGCGACGATCCACTTCTTGAGGCACAAGTTACTAAAAAATTTCCATTCTTTAATATTTCTCTATTCTTCAACTTAAGTCCGAAGAAACGTTCCACTTTTTATCGGAATTTTAATTAACGGCGCGAGAAAAACCAGAGGCAAACGCGTTCTCGTAATTACATTCATAAAATTATTGCGTTATTGCTCAAACAAGGGAGATGTTGCTCAATACCGTCAAGGAATTAAAGAATCATAATTCGCGTAGAATTTCGTTTCATCAACCCGCGGCGTATAACAATGCGTGCCTCAAGCGGGGAAATTTTTACAGGTAATAGATGTTTTACCGAGCAAAGTGATCCGCGGTGAACGGTGAAGGGTTTAAACATTAGCACGGGCCACTGCGAAATGTAAACGACGTCGAGTTAGATTGCGGAGAACAATGTGTGGAACGACCCGCAAGGTAGATGAAAGCTAATTCAGGTGGAAGTTAAACAGAGTTAAAGGTACGTCCTTTAGAGGTAGGGTAGGCAGGCTAGGTCGGGACGGGTTAGGTTACAAGAGTTCGGCCTTACATTCATCACGCGGGAGGCCTTGAAGCCTCCTGGATCGGTGTATGCCCTTTTAATAAAGAATAGCTGGACGCCTGCTCAGAGGCAGTATGCAGCGCATAAAATTTTGCCTCGATGTTTCCAGTCGAACCGTTACGCGCTGCTTTCCCGTCAAATTATCCGCGCGAGGGAAGAGAAGAAAAACAAAAATAGACACGTGTACGCTTATCAATTATGAAAATTTTTCTCTAATTTTATGAAAATTCATAATAAAGGGAAATAATTGCGGATTTCAAGGCTGCTTTTATCTCCCGTTATTTCCAACATGCTTCACGACTGTTAACTTCGTGTCAGGAGAGATCATGTACGCTCAGACGTGAAAAAAGACGTTACTAATTTTCCAGTTTTTAACAGTAACTTTCTCAAAAATAAGGATAAAAAATTATTTTATCTCTCTTTTCATGTAAAATTGTAATATTTTCTTTTCGCATAAAATTGTTATTTTCTTCTAGAGATTAACGGAGCTAGAGTATATGACAGATTTTTTTAGATAAATAAAAAGCACTTAGCTTAAAAGCAATTATCCATTTGTAAAATATCACTGAATAATAATATCGCTTGTAATTTAAAACGATTAAAATGATAAAACGACTAAAAACTGTTAATTATCGGATGTCACTTCTCATTTACTTTTTCGTTTACTTTCTCCTTTTTTTCACGTCAGCGTTTTTAGCAATTTTAAAACCCATTAATAGTTTCCGCGTGCGTTAAAGGCTCAAAAGGACGCGATTCTAGCCAGGATAAAATTAAAAATAATGTACTACGCGGTATGTTGTGCTACAGAGATGCGTTCAAGACATTCGTTCGAAATTGTTCGCCAGATCGTAGGATTATTTGCTCAATCAGATTACCTGCCAGAACGCAATGCGCATAACGTCTAACGAGAGAGAAC